GCCATTGCTACAAGGCTGTATATGTTTGAAATACTAGTACAAACTATATGCAAAACCCTCAGAAAAAACTAACAGACGAAACGAATTTATATATAGAATTTTATAAAAGATAAAGCAATTCGGTTTGTTTTCATACTTTTAAATATTATTACTAATTGCGATAAAATTCAATTTGAAATTAAGAAGGATATAATGATGTATTTATTTTGTTATCATCATTTGTTTTCCATTTATTTATTTATTATTTATTTATTTATTTATCTATTTATTTATTTATTTATTTATTTATTTATTTATCTGCTTACAATGAACCATCTGATTATATTAAATTATCTTTGTCAAACCGTTTTTCAAATCAAAACAGTATTACATATATTTGTCTTCAAGTCTACTTTTTCCTCCAAGAGACCACCTCCTACCGCCCCCTGCCTCATAGCCAAACTCTAAATACAGGCGCAAATAACACGAACAATAAAAAAATACATTTACTTTATGCCTATAAAATCCCCCCTTCATCGGTGACGACACGGATGCGCAAGCTGGTTTGGATCAATGCTGGTCGCAAACGCATTATGTTGGTTTTGTCATGGCGCGGCTCAATTGTCTTTATTTTCCATACCCATCAGAGTAAAATATCAAATTATGAAAAATCATGAAAAACCACAAACGTATATATTTGGATACTCTTTGGTTTTTTATGTGTCTGTTATCACGCGGAAGTTGGTAAACTTGTATGAATATTTTCATCCGGAGCAAATTCTTGTCCCATTTCCGTTAATGTTTAAACAGTTTATGCATATGTTAGTTAACATAAAGACAAACTTTTTAATTAAAACTAGCTTAAATTGTAGACATACATTACTAACTACGCAACTAAATCATTCTTTATCACCAAGATTTTACGCCGCCTAAAGAAAGTTTAACTATCGCGCGCATAAATGTGAAGCGCGTGCAAGCGGCATGCGCACGCGCGTAAATCTATGAAAAGAGCGCGCACTTCTTATGGACGCAAAGAACTCCACTTAAGTCCAAAGCCTAAAAACGTAGCATTTAATTTTCTAGCATAGATCAGCTGAGACACTTAAATAAAAAATAAGATTGATATGCAAATTGTCATTAAGAATTCATGCAAATATACTCAGAAATAAGTTTTAAAACGCAATTCTGTGCAATTCTTAGCCCGGTTTGAGTGCAACGCTTTTCAATTTTGGCTATTTTTTTTTACAAATGGAATAATGATTCTGGAAAGAAAATGGAGGAGCGGATGATCTAAAATTTTGCAAACAAGTTATTTTTCTAGACCAACATCAAATGTAATATCAATCTCGAAAAATTATTTCGAGCTCCATCATGTCAAAAAACCTCAGTGGAGTCCATTTTTCTAACCCGTAACCAGCAGCTTGAACCGGAAGTGTTAGCATTTGCCACCAGTATAGAGACAGGCCGAGCTTTACAGAAGTACAATCTATTCAGGCTCGTCGACTGTTGGCTGATAATTTAATTCCGACAGAGAAATGTGATTAAGATACGACTGATGGAAATATCTATTATTTATATTGTGATATTAGAACTAGTATATTTGTACGTATACATTGTATACGCAGCGCAACTGCTAATTGTATTGGTTATGCATACATTTCTTTTAGTTAGCATTGTTGCAAGAAAACAACAAAGGCAACAACAAAAAAGCAACAACAACAACGAAACAGTACTTATTATAAATATATAATTATGTTACTACATTTTTCTCTTTATTTCTATTATTATTATTATTATTATTATTATTATTATTATTATTATTATTATCATCATCATAATCATCATCATCATCGTCGTTGTTGTTGTTGCTGTTGTTATCATTTCTTAAACTGACAAATTTCAAAGAAATACCCGAAACAGACAATTTATCGAAAAGTTATCAATTCTATGTAGGCGACTAAAATTCTTTCTTCACTACCATTTTAACTGTTTAACGAGCATGTTTAAGTTGCCTTCCTAATGACCGATCTTTATTTCGTTATTTTGACCTCTTCCTATGGAAGTTTAAAGCCCACCCATAAAGATTTGTAGCAACAAAAATCTGTTAAGGCGCGTTTACAACAACAACAAAAAATACTTGTTTTATATTAACGCACTCGGTGACGTGTTGTTTCACTTCCGATACCCAAAGTTTTAGTTTTACTCACGCGTTAAATAGGACTGAGCAAAATGTTCCGTTTCGGAAAAAATATTTTCAAGTACAAAAACAACAACAAGGACAACAACAATGACAACAATAAAACAACAACAAAACACGGATATGTACAGTGCTCTTAAAAGTCATATTCCAAAGACCATACAATTTGTATTCGTTTTTGTTTCTTCATCTTAATATATCTAAATAACACAATTTTAGTTGATAACATATATTTGTTAATGTCATTAGTGAAAAAATAAAAAAATGAAGATATGATTTTTCTTTAACAAATTTGAAACATATATAGATCACTTATCCTATCTTGAACATAAAAAAAAAATCATTAAACTTTGTTACAATATAATATATACATGTACTTCCAAAGTTAAAACACTTTTAACTAAAATTTACTTTACACCACCCAAAAATTGATTACACCATCCAAAAATCGATTACACCGCCCAGAAATTGATTTCACCACCCAAAAATCGATTACACCGCTAAAAAAAACGATTACGCCACCCAAAAATCGATTACACCGCCCAAAAATCGATTAAACCACCCAAAAATCGATTACACCGCCCAAAAATCGATTACACCGCCCAAAAATCGATTAAACCACCCAAAAATCGATTACAGGTCTTTAGAGCCACCCCCTCCCCCATTGAAGAGTTATATAATATTAAATAATTTATTCTTTTAGCGATCGAAGATTGACGCATGCGCAAACACATCGCCAAACCTTCTAAATTTGTAAGTAACAGAAAGGACACTTTTTTGCACATACACCCTTCAGGTGAAACAACAAGAATGAAAAACCCCACGTGACTGCATCTTCTGAAATTCGTCAGACTTAGCTCAACACCATTTTTAAAAACGTATTGTTCTACTTAAAAAATCCTATCCTTCAATTTCAGTAGTTATACACTTTTATCAAATGCAAGAATTGGTTTTGGTTGGAGCCAACGGAAGAAAAAAGTTGATAAGAAGAAAACAGGAAAGAAATTTTAAATCGGACAAAAACCTCAAAATGTTTCAAATAAGTCGTCAGTTTAAGAATGGCATTGCAGTTCGCGCAAAGATGTTGATCTAACTTCGTAATATTACTAACAGTAGTTCACATATAAAAACGATTACGCAATGACATCATGTGCCAAATGACGTCAGAGTTGCTAATCACATATTTTCAGCATTACAGCAGGTAACTGATAATCACCGATCTGATGAAATTTGAATGAAATGCCTTTGTTTTTGAGTCATCTCGTGTAAAACTAAAAATTAACCTTTTTGTCCCCCTCCCCCGCCTCCAAGAAAAAAAATGTTTCATAATATGTGGTGACAAAAAAGATAGACAAAGTATCAATGGAACACGCTTTCCGATTTTCGAATAACCATCGTAATTTCATTGATCTATTTCGCCAGTTTACAGGCCGAATTTATTTATGTATACATTGTACATCAATCGGTCCTCATACCGGAATGTCCCCGCCAGACTTTCTTCCGTCTTGTAACGACAAAGTTTATTTACTTTGTACGTTAAATACCGAAAGTAAAAGGAATTTAGACGAGAAAGCATTTTATCAGAGGCTTGTCGTGCTAGAAGTCATCCGTCGGTAACACATTTATTTTATTTATCGCAGGACCTATCAGTCATTGCCAAATAGATCTCTCAAGTGCGTAGTACGGTCACTGTTTCATTCAGTAATTTACATACGTTTGGAGCTGACGGTAAAATTAAATTAAAACAAGGTAATGTTTGATATTTGAAAATATTTGAAAATATTTTTTTCAAACAATTAATTATTAGTTGATTTCGAAAATTTGAAAAATTTAGAAATGACATTTAAATAAATCATAAGTTAAATACCATTTTTTATATTTGTTCAAAATTTAAGTGTTATGTACGTAGTGTTTACTTTCTAGACATAGGATATGTATTCTTTTGTTTATACATCATGAACTAAATACTGTTACATTAGTAAACAATAGAGCTGTGGGAAACAACTTGGAGAAGATATCTTTGTTTATAAGTCAAAATATTCAAGATGGAAGAAAATATGTATAATTCATGAATCAAACTATTGTTGAATCTATAACAATAAGATTTTTGAAACGCTGATGCTAATTATACTATTATGACGTATAAATTTATGTTAAAGAATTTAGAAATTGTTCGTAATATCACATATTATAATTACAAATATTATATAATTAAAGATAAAATCAATAAAAAAAATTCCAATATATTTCTTACATTGAGAAAAAAAGAACAAAAAAAAAACAAAAAACAAACAAACAGATACAATAATTATAAGCGGTCTGTGTACTGATTGACCGGTGTATGGATACAAAATGGCTAATTTTATAAATCATTTCAATTTCACATTTCATGAGAACGTAATTGAAATCACAACAATGATTCATTTTTGATATTTTTTTAACCCAAAACATAAAGATGTTGACGTTGTTGTTATTCTTATTTAGTTATCGACAAATTAACTTTGTTTTATAAAGATAACTCTTGTTCATTTGTTTGTTTGCGACTTTGATACATTGCTGGTAAAAGAGTTAGTACAAGCAAGTTAAACTTAATGAAATCTTAAACATATATTAACTACATGATAACAATAAATATAACAATTCAAGTATTGGATAACTTAGAAAGAAATGCCAATGACTATAAAGAATGAACAACAATACCGCAAATGTATATTTTAAAGTAATGCTCCCATAAAACTTCGTAAAATTACGGAGGCTGCCGATGTTGCTCAAGGGAGATAACTACGCCAGTGTTAAAGTTGTTTGCCGTTAATGAAAGGGAATCGTTAAAAAGAGGTGTCATTCTGGGAGGGAATGCTGTATTATAAACAGAAAAGGGTTAGTTCTTTGATATAATTTCCGAAATGTTTCACGAATATTACACATATATTAAAGTATTCATAACATAATGTTGGTCTGTCATTCATTTTTCAAATAATCATTATATTATGAAACATGTAAATTTTCAAATGTTTTTTCTTTGTAGCCACATTATGCCTCAGAAATAAATTAATTTTTACTTCTTAAAACAGGGTAGACATGAGTTCTATATTGTCTAAAAATGGTTTTAAAGAATGTTAGATGCTTGTTACATGAAGGAAGTAGCGATAAATGTGAAATAATTTGTCATAAAAGAAGCAAAATGTAAACAAAATAGTATTTTGACTTCCATTCAAAATACTTATTAACTATAACAGATGAGAAAGATGGTTCAGCAATTGACCAATGGGTAACTTTTTTGATACTGAAAAAGTGCACCTAAATGAGAAATAAAAATAATAGCACTTTTTAGATATAATGGGCCTTATGGGTCCATTGTGCAGTAGCTGAAGAGAAGATAAAGTTAGTAAATTTAAACAATCGAGAGCGTTATATTAACTTCAAACTGCATTATTTTTAAAAGGACCAATCCAGCTTCAATTTCTAAAACTGTCCTTTGTCATTTTTTAAAAATATCAAAATGAAAATATATGAAGTTAGTCTAGCCGCAGTATAGAGCCTGGTCGGGCTGTACGGAGGTGCAGGATGGCATGGTTGTATACTGGCGGCAAACGAGAATCACTTCCGGTTCAATACACGATTAAGATATGAGTTTAAAACAGCATACCTCCAGATTCATGCTAATTTTCATAAAAAAATGAAAATGTATTTGAAGAAGCGTACAAAGAAAGTAATTTACAAATTGCAAACGACACTAACAATCCTCGTTTATACCAAAAAAAAAAGATCAACATATGCAAAAATAGCCCTTACTGGGTTAGTCACGCAGTGAAAATATGGTGATAAATACTGCAAAATCAGTCATTAATAAGTAAATTATTATTTCAATCTGGAAACTTTTAAACTTTTCTTAAAATCTTATTTTGGTTCATCTGGAGGCATTCATTTTTATAGGTTAAGCATCGAAATCTCAAGAAATTTATTTGTAATTATGTTGAAGTTTTAAAATTGTTTTATTATTTTTCTTTTTCGGAAAAAAACATTTTTACTACTTATATCTCAGGTTTGTTAGTTTATGTTTTCTTTCTTTCGTAATAAGCCCAAAAGTTTATAAAAAATCCTCATGTAGTGAAAATGAGTATTTCAGTGGGGATTTTTCCGGGAATTTTTTACGCAACCTGAAAAATAACTCATCAATCAGGTTAAAGTAAGTTATGGCGCCTAAAAATAGATGCTTGTAAGTAAACAATGACATGTAGCTCTCATTAAAAATGCGTGCATGCACTAAATTAAGAGATAACACCCATAATGCTCAGCAACTGATGATTGCGATAAAAAGATATCATAGTCTGAGATTATGCAAAATGCACAAGCAGACGAACAAACAAAAACCCCCAAAAAATTAGTAAAAGTGCAATGTCAATATTTAAGGGCATAACAAAAAATGTCAAGAAGAATGGCAAAGAAATAAGAAAAGTGGTACTAAGTGTAGGTATGGATAAAAATCATTCGTTACAGTTTATAATTAAAAATATGTTGAAATTTAGGTCAAAGCATTTTTTTAAAATATTAAATTAAAGTTTGGCCGCTTTGATGACTACAATAACCGTTCGATTCCCAGCACAAGAAGCCGTCAATTCTAAGCGCATAGAAAACACTAAAACAATACGTATTCACGTTCTGTGCTAGAATTGATATCTTAAAATATTATTTTAGATGTTAATTATCAGTTGCAGTAAAAACAATTTATGTTAGACTCCATTTTTTAGGACGACAACGATAATATTTGCATAATCGTCTATCTATTAAAGAGTCCATACATTCGGATAACCGCAAAGTTCGGACAAAATTCAATACCTTTTACAAGGTTAATCCAATTTGATTACTTTGATGTTTGTTTGCATTCTTTAGTTGCGCTTTATTTAATAAGAAATTATTTTCGGGTAGAACAAACGTCTCCAATTATAAAATGTATGCGCCTGTAATTGCTTTTTGTGAATATGTTTAATTAATGTTACTTGATCTGAAAAATTTACTGGCCTTTTAATATCTTATATCTTTACGAACGCATTATCAAGGTTAGCAAAGACAAGGGTTAATAATCAGAATGTTTTAATCTAATTTACATACAATTATGTGACATATATTCTAATAATATGAACGTTAAAAACTTTTTTGTAACGTTATCAAATGATAAAAAATAGTAGTCGAATTGAAGCTTGAAGCATATAATAACCGTTTTTGATTACATTGACAAGCTTTTTTGTTTTTGTCGAAAATAATGGCATTTTCAGAAATATAAAAGTTGTGCGCATGAAGATTTTTTTTTTCAGTTTAGATGATGATCTAAAACCAAATAAATGCTCTTTTTGTATTATTTTTGCGTTATAAGAAATTATCAAAGAGTAAAACGTAGTGTTAATATTAAGGCCAGAAAATTAGTTTTTTATTGAAGCGCAATTAAGATGAAAGCTTTAAATTTAATTGAATCAATCTCGAGAGCTATTACTGGAACTAACAAATACTTGGGTCATGTTAGGAAACATGGCCACGAACCCCAGGAGGGCTTGAACCTAAGATCCCTTTTTTCGTTTATCTTTTTTAAGTCAGGCATCTCAAATTGTATGCCATCTTGACACTTCGAAGTGCATTAAAATATTCGTCTGTTGTTTTTAACTTCGCATATTAAAAATATATCATGCGTTAAATTGATATACATTAAATGAAGATGTTTCATTATATATTTTAGAATGATTGGCAAGGCTGTGATAATTTGTTTGGTTGTGGTGTGTGCGGTCTCGGCTTTTGATCCTAGTTACACATACTATAATCAGGTAAGATTTTCTTCCCTACGAAGGATTTGTTTTATAAAGGTACTAACCCACATAAAATACATCGTTGCTTTTTTGATTGTTTAATTGGGTTTTACGTCACACCGACACATTATAGGTCAGATGGAGACGTTCCGGCTTTACTGGTGGAGGAAGACCTTAGGTGCCCTTTTGTGCATTATTTTAGGCACGAACGGGAACCTGAGTACAACCACCGACGTTCCGTAAGCTAGCTGGTTAGCTTCCTTACATAAAAGAATCCACAGTCCCTGTCTTGTTTCGAACCTACAGCGGTGAGGGGCGAGTGGTTTAAAGTCAATGACCTTAACCACTCGGCAACGGATGCTCCACATCGTTGCAAAAGTGCCAATCCTCAAATAAATTGATATTTCATTGGTCAAGTCATCTAATTTCATGATACCGTTTAAATATGTGGTGAACCGTTTGTAAGCATCTATTTCTCAATAAAGTCAAATCATTATACGTGGATACGCAGTCCTTCAGGCGGACAGACTGAACTATTCAGAGGGGAAAAAACCTTTGGTGTAAGTAAAAAGATACAATATAGTTTTTCGGCCATTATTGACCATTATCAAACAATGTTTGGCCTTTCTAAAGAAGAATAAAATAATTCTGAGGCATAAAATGCCTTAATCTAAATTATTATATGGTATTGTAATCTTTTAGATGAACAAGGAAAATCCGTTTTTTTGTCATAAGAATGTTAACGAACAAATATTTAATTGCAACTGTGGCGGCATATCCGACAGGTTAGCGGGTCAGACTAGTAATCTAAGGATTGTTGTTTCCTTGAGCAAGAAACTTTACACGCTTTGTTTAGCACTGGTTGGTTCCAGGTACGGATTCGATTGTTTCAATATGCTAATGACTTTCAAACTAAAAGAAATTGGTATAAACTACAGACAATAAATGCAACTGAATGAAAATCACTATTAAAAAATTATTATTTCAAAATGACGGGCTAATCTGCCAATGTTTTAGTATGTAAATGCAATCAAAGCGTTTAATATCGACACATACATCTCGAGTTCAGTCTGTTGTTTTGGCTTAATTCTAAAACTTGCAAAAGTTTACTTTTCTGCTCTGTTTGTAACTCATGTAAAAGCCACATTTGAATCTTTAAGCTCATGTGATCTTTTGGCACAGAAGTCTAAAATGTTTAGAACAAAACTTTTGAATACTTTTGTAAATACATGTATATGAAACCTTCGCGTGACATGGATCAATCTAACATATTTAATATGAGTTTTATTACGGGTAATTGACCTATTTCGAGGCATAGGTACTTGAGATCATTAAAAGTAAATGAACTTTTCCGCCCAATTCACACCGGTTACAAAGGAAGGTGGTACTTGAAATATTTTAAACACTAGAAGGTTACCCTCTGTAACTGAGTTCCTGTACTTTATACTCAAGTGATGGCGTGCTGTTAATATTTGGACTGTAAGTGTCCCGCCTAGGAAACGAAATCCTTTAAAACAATGTGATGTAGGCCATATCAGGTCATCCTTTTCTCCTTTGCGCTGAAAAAAGCAACAAACAAACAAACAAAAATAATGAAAAAAAATAGATAAAAAACGTTGATTTCTTATTTATTTATTACATTTTAACTCTTTTACTCAGGAGCCGTGTACCCATTTGGTTCAAACTGAAAAGTCCAAAAGTCCAATCCCACCTTAAAATCTTATATTTTAATTGTTTGATGGTCTACGGATTTCCTTTTCGCTGGCTCTCATTCAGCCTCAATATTTTACTGAGTACTCATTACACTTCTACGGCCTGCTCGCCGATCTGCGGACCCCCTTTTTGTTCGCTGAAACTAAAAGTTCAATTCCAACCCAAACTTTAACTTTGATCTCCTTTCCGATGAATAATTATCAAACTCCAATTCCATCCAGCTATCATAAACAATTCTTACAGTCCTTTTGTGAATACATTTGGCTATACTTTATTTTGACTTAAATATTTTTGACACAAACTATCGTATGTTAAGGAAACATGACCATATTCACCTTTGCGTCTTTTTTGTATATCGCGCCAACTCAGCGGGTTTCCAGCTTAACTGGTAGAGGAAGACCTCAGGTGCCTCTTTGTGTATTATTTCAAGCACAGGCGGGCACCTGAGTAGAACCACCGACGTTCCGTAAGCTAGCTAGTAAGCTTTCTAACATGAAAGAAATTCGAAAACATTGGCGCGAATCAGACCCATAGAGTTGAATGGTCTCAGTTTGCAATATATGATACGGTGACCGGAAGTAAAAGGTTCTTTTTGTCGCAATAACCCATACCCGTGGACTTGAATAGATTTGCAGTAGATTATACAGTGATTTCGATTTAGCACTTTGATAAAATATTCATCATTAATTATTTCGCGAGGAATTTTTTTCGTATTTTGTATCAGTAACAAATTCAACAAGTCTACAGTAAGCGGAGTTAGTAAAGGGTGTTGCATAATGCAAGATATGAACAAAAAAAATACGGAAAAGACAAATGGTCGTTAGCGTGGGAGACGACATATTGGTATTTTCTCAAGTAATGACGTCACAATGTAAAAGCACGCGCTCGCGTGACGAAAATGTTCTGAAATAGCTAAAACGAAAACTATCGATAGGCCTTGAGTTTGTTACGGTATTTCCCGATATAAGTCGGTTTTTTACAATGTCAATAGAGTTTAAATGTTTTCGTCAATACATTGTATTTGTAGTGCATGGCTAAGGCGTATCCCTTTAACATTCTATTTTTCACTCCATCTTTTCCTATTATTTTGTATTAGATTACAGCAACGCGAACATGCATTATCGCGTTTTTGTTGTATTAAAGTATTTATTAACTAGGGATGTACTATAAACATTAAGAAACATTAAGAAACTTTCTTGAACTGTTAATTTAAAAGTTGTTTTTGACAGGATCTAGAGCCGCGGATAAGTTTATTACAGATCAAGACACTAAATATCAAAACAATGATGTATCTTAAATTTTCCTTTTACTTTATGTTTACTTACTGTAAAGTTACAATGGTAGAATACTACGTCATCGCGCACAGGTCTACAACATGCTCCCAATAGGAATACTTTCTTTCTTTTTACAAATATTGGCTTTAGCACTTGATATAACTTTGAAAAACGTTTTAAGTTTTAATGGCTAGCTTAGTCCTGAAAACGGGATAAAGATTTTTTCCTTAAATGCTCCCACTCAGACTCCTTAACAAACTTTATCCCGTTTTCATGCTTATCGAGTACTATGGCCAATCTTTGGTGCGCTACATTATCTAATAATATTCTAACGATTTCTTAGAACATTTTTTTTCATCTTCGTGTCGACAGAAAAACCCAGTCCGATTGGGAGAATTTTACAGGTGCGCGATGACGTAGTATCCTACCAATGAGTTATTGTAGCAAAGGATGTTCTAAAAAATATTAAGCATATGCTTTCTTTCTTTCTTTCTTTCTTTCTTTTCTTTCTCTTCTGTCTTTCTTTCTTTCTTTCTTTTTTCTTTCTTTCTTACTTGTAATTTCTGATAACTTTTCGGGTTTAACATGACCTTTCCTACATTTACAAAACTGCTCGGAATTACTTCTCTTATTCGATAAGCACACTTCGTAAATTTGACAGCATAAAAAAATTACGCTTTCTGTTAATTTTGCCGTTCTCTAAATTTTACGTGTGCATATTCTTTATTTTTTTGAAAAGTACGGCTTTGCTGTCTTTCGTATCGTAATTTTGCTCGCAAACGTTTTACTTGTTTTACAGTTTACTGGACCCAGAGGTGAGATGAACTCAGTACAGTCAAAGCTGAATACATTAGAGTCAAAGTTAAATATGATGGAGAACCGACAACAAGCAATGACCAACGCCATCAATCGGGAAATCAGCAAACTTGAAATGGACACAAGGAGCATTAAGACTGTTATTAATACATTGGCAGAAGACAACTACAAAACACATAGTCAGATCGATGTACTGAAGGGTAATGGCCTAGTCATTAAGTCCTTATAGGAAATGTATTTGTAACCTTGTTGCATTTTGTCATATAATTGCAAGAGAATAAAAATGAGCATATGCTTTACTTTACTCTGTACCTACACTTTAGGTTTAGGGGGCCATTTAGATGGGATTTAGCCCAAATTGCTGTGTTTGTTAACATGAATTATACTATTTCTTTCACCGTCCTTGGATTGGGGTACCTCACTGAGAGTTTATAATTCAAATACCAAAAAAGACCTTTGCTCTTCCCTAAGGGAAAAGGTTGGTGTTATCAAAAATGGCCAAAATAATTGGAAGTTTCAAAGTAGTTGTTGACAAAAAGGAGGAAAAAAGACGTTGGTAGCTGATCAATTTTGTTTTCCTTTAATTATCTTATCTTTGTATCACATTTTTTCTATATATCATCCGATATTTATGTTAAATTTCAGGTCACAGTGAGTTTATGGTTAATATTGGAAGAAAGGTGAGAAAAATAAAAAAGAACATATGAGCCGCGTCACGACAAAACCAACATAATGCGTTTACGACCAGCATAGATCCAGACCAGCCTGCGCATCCGCGCAGTCTGATCAGGATCCATGCTGTTCGCTTACCAACCCTATTACAAGCAGAGAAACTGATAGCAAACAGCATTGATCCAGATCAGACTGCGCGGATGCGCAGGCTGATCTGGATCCATGTTGGTCGCAAACGCACTATGTTGGTTTTGTCATGACGCGGCCCATATATAACATACTTATATTCTATTGATGACTGATGATGAATTTGTTAAATGTTAAAGGCACATTATGCCTAAAAAACGAACAAATGTTTTAGAAATGGTAAACATGAGTTTTACAACATTAAAATAATGTTTTAAGAGAATGTAAGATACTTGTTACCTGTAACGAAAAAAGCGGTAAATGTGATTTATTTTGTTATAAAAAGTAGTTTTTTGATTTCCATACAAACAATATAATCACTGTAACTAGATTAATTGCAAAAAAGCAACAGAAGAAAATGTAAGGATATGTATAGGCCAATGAGTATCTTTTTGGAAAAATAGTCATAAAAAGCTTTTAACCAAATAAAAATAAAAGCACTTCAGGGGCACAATGGGCCTTTGAGTAAACAAATGATTACTTTTACATGTTTATATTGTCACAAACAATAATATACGTTAATTTGTTAAAACACGTTAAAATGTGTCACTAGGCAATGTGTCACACCCGCAATGTGAAGGTTATTTTGAGATTTTCTAACTATACCTGAGGTGAAACCAAGTTATAGCTTTCACACAGGTAAGAATTAATAGTTCTATTTGAGGAGTGGGGGTGGGGGTGATTCTATGTGTAAGGGTCCTTAACTGTCCAACAATGGGTTGATATTTAATATTCATATATAGTTATATATATATTTGTATCTTAAATTGCACGGTAAAATGCCAACGTGTAATTGATTTTCTTCTTTTTATCCCCAGGTAATGGCGCTAGAACAGAATTTAATGAAGCTGAATCAGACGATAAATGGCGAACCAATGAAATGAATTTGTGTTCACAGACTGTTTACACTTTTAGTTGTACATGTGCTACATATAAATACTACAATATATCACAGAGCATAGCCTCGTTTTCATTATCACTAACACATATGTGTTCAATTTCCGGTTAGGTCGAACCATGTTTAAAACGCACTTGCTGATTGGATGTTTGATAATGTAAATGTTGATTGGATAAAATTATGTACCATCGTTTTTTTCTTGACATAAAGTGAAAACGCGCTTTACTAGCGAATGAATCACCAACCAATTAAGAAGTGTCTTAAAGTTCACATTAAGAACAAAATACAAAAAACGCTCATTCTATTTATCATATCTATTTATCATTGACCTCTAAATCCGTGACAACAATACGTCATTCATAACGTCAAGCTTTTATAGCATCTCAAGTCATTCCTGCATGGAATAATTTCTTACTTTAGGAAATTTAAAAAAGATAAAAGTTATGTTGAATTTTTTCACATCTTGATAATATTTTAATTGTATGTTATACATTTTGTTTATGATTTGGTATAAGATGCAATGTTTTGATTCTTTGTTAAGTTTCAGCTTCGCTAGAAACAACTCTTTTCCAATGGCTTAATAAATTTGAAAACGTCATTTTATATACCTTGTTTCGTCCCTTCTTTTTTCACCTAAAAATATTAGTATCTTCTTGCTTTTGCTATTAAACGGATATATTATGTATTTATATTGTTTGTTAAATTCAAGCCATACGTCATATTATCAAAATATTGCAAGGAGGCAATATAGTTAAGAAACATCAAGCATATACAAACTTCTGCAATTTCCGGACAGGATCTTTGTCAGCAAAATATTGGTTATATTGATACTGTGTTAATCGCTCTATGTCATTTTGACGCTGACTAAAATGCTTATTAATAAACTTCGGCATTTTCCGTGTAGGATCTGTGTCAGCTAAATGGTTACATTGATAACGTGTAAGTTATTCCAGGTCATATTGACGCTGACTAAAATGTTTAAACTTCGGCATTTTCTGTATTAGATCTGTGTCAGCTAAATGGTTATATCGATACAGTGCTAGTTGCTCCAGATCATGTTGGCGCTTACTGAAATATTTAAAGTTCGGCATTTTCCGTATCAGATCTGTGTCAGCCAAATGGTTATATCAATACAGCGTAAGTTGCTCCAGGTCATGTTGGCGCTTTCTTAAATGTCAAAAGTTCGGCACTGTTCGTATCAGATCTGCCAGCAAAGTGGATATATTAGCACTGTACATCTTAATAGCTTAGGGTCATGTTGACGCTTAATAAAACATCACAACTATAAATATCTTTTGAGGAATGTAATACCAATAGTGCATTCACAAAATTGTTAAACATGAAAATACAAAAATAACAAGATGGCAAAAAAAAAAGAGTACATGAATCATGTTCAAATCCGTGCGAGTTCGATTTTCTGATAATCTGCAACTGAAAAGATATAAGCAATTATGTTGAATCGATATCCCCTGTCGTAAGATACAAATCTCTTTGCTGAAATCTTTTAGTAAACTAAGATACGTAATGCCTCTTGAGGTCCATAAATATAAAAAAAAGCCAAGATCAACATTGGAGGGCGGTATGTCGGACCGCTTTAATTTAGCGGCGTGTCACCCCGAAAAATTATTTACAAAACGCTCAATACCAACCATTTTCAGCACATTTTTGAAAGTAATTTTGTTTGTAAATATTTTTTTAAAATATGATTTCCGCATTCGTTAAAGTTTTACCATTAAGTTCAAATATGTTTAAATGCGGTCTCACGTTAGAAATAGTACACTGTGCTTCGAATCTCATAACATAACAGTGACCTTCCAGTCAGCCTGAACTTTGAAGAGATCTCAACCATGGACTTCGGCCTTATAAATGATTTTGGGCTGACTGATCGGTCATCGTAATTCTATGAGGCCCTCAGCGCTGTGTATTATGTAATAGAAAGAGCATCGAAACACGAGGCTATCTGATTTGTACGAGGGGGGCGTAGCCCCCGAGTATTAATCAGATTTCCGAGTGTTTTGGTGTTCTTTCTCTTTTGTATCATAGTCAAACATAAAAACACGTTCCCTGTTGTCACAATATGAAGCCCCAGAACAAAAGTAACCAATGAACGAGCATCTGAATGTGATATTTCTATCGCTTTCTATTTCCCTGCCGTCACAATAAGTAAACCCATGCAAAAATGAGCCAATCAATGAGCATGCTCTGGAGTGCAGGTAACTAATACCTGCACTCCAGTTAACGCACTGTGCATGTATATGTTAACTTTGACACATTTTCAACAGAAACTATGATACAACTCTAAAATACCGGTAATAGATAATTTGTTTCATATTTCATTTCTAATCACTTCCAATGTTAGCTTTTTTTTTGTATTTAATCAAGACTTCCTTTTTTACACGTGCTTTACATCACCAGACCAAAATCTGAAAGAAAGACCCAATAACATATTTTCTTTTGTTTGGTAGAAAATATAGACCTGTCACAAACAATAGAGATGGCGTATTTATTGATATGAATTACAATATTTTTGTATCAGTAATACATCGTCAATATAACAAATTCTTATAAAGAACAACCGCAAACACCCCCCCCCCCGACACACACACACACACCAACGCACGCACCAACGCACACACATACACACAACAAATAATATCATTAAGTCTCAATATAGTAAAGATTGTAGGTTAAAAAAGGAAAAAGCGTTCCATGGTATATTTCATAACGAATTGAAAATAATTTAATTTACAATTATCGTGTTTTTCCCGTCCGTACCGATTACTTTTCCTTTCCCTGATGAAAAATAGTGGAGAGATGAAGGCCTATTGTAACTGTTTGCAAATGCGTATGCTGGTAAAAAAATGAACTTAGGTTTCCGTCTGGTTACCTAGGTAATGACATAACAGACTGCTTAATCTTGCAAAAACGGTTACTATGGTCTAGTGACAAATCGCCATCCCAAAAATGAGGGAAGCAACACTGCATTACTTATGTTCAGGATGTTGGTTCACTTATGTCCCTTCCCCAATAAGTTTAACGCTGCGTCGCCATTTATTGTTTGTCTTTACATTCTATATTTACAGTCATAAACTTTATGCTACATGAATTGAAATGATTTATTTAACACAACTTAACATTTTCGAAAGTATTCGATATAAATAATAACATATAAAATAAGGCAGCACACCACACTAAATGAAGCCGCAGCTTCGAATGGCCAGGGAGGATTTCATGGATATAGTGACTATTGTGGATTTAAATGACTGGTTGTCTTTAAAATGCATTTTCAGCATGAACTTTGTTTTTGTGACATGTAATATGATCATTGGCAAATTCGAAAACATGGTTAGAAATCACATGCTGATAATTATTGATGTCAAGGTCGCCATTGTTTGTAAACATTGCTTTTAAACAGCATGCTCGGTGAAAAAAAGTAGTTTTACAGGGGGGTACAAACTTTCAGCAATAACAAAAAATCTACAAGGCCAAGCACCTATTTCTTTGTGATATTTTGCATGCACAGGGAGTTGCTAAAGCAGTGACAGAGTTTTTGTAGACCGTATATTTGCAGGTATTTTTTGCCGGAGGGACGAAAAATGTTGTTTTGGGTCTCGGACCACTATAGATTTTTGGCTTTTACGGAATGAATTGGATTTTTTTTAACTGCCTGACTGTTGCACATGGGATGATTTCATTACAGATTTGCAATGGTATGACATATATGTTCTTAACAAAATGCGTTTTCTTTTTCCAGGTTGTGTAGTTTGGGATCAGATTTACCAGACATATTGCTTGTAGGACATTGACGGCAGAAACTTGAAATTTAGTGTGGAGTGCTACCTTAAGGTAAAATGAAATTTTTTCAATGCTTGTTTTTTCTCATTAAACTTTGTGTAAATACTCTAGAATACACACTGACTACAATGGTGATGAAATTTCTTAATAATATTAAACACAGTGCCAGAAAGTCAGCTTTGAAAAGGGGAGGTAACTCAAATTCCAGAAATTCTTTGTGAAATGTATTAAAGGTGCAGTGTCTGCTGTGTTGATTACATCTACTTATTCTAGGAGATACAGCTTTAGAAGAATGCTAATTTTCACATATAGAGCTATGAAGGTTAAATTAGATGTTGTTTTCCTGCTTTTT